AGGAGGGTCCCCTCAGCTGACCAGATCCCCCCAGTGCCCTGCAGGAGGGTCTTCCAGCTGACCAGAGCTCCCCTTACCCCTAATGCCATGCAGGAGGGGCCCCCCCGGCTGACCAGACCCTGGTCATCAAGACATTTCGCTTCATGTCCCAGAAACTCTTCATCTCGGTCTCTGTGCTCTCCAGCCTGGGCATTGTCCTGGCTGTGGTCTGTCTGTCGTTTAATATCTACAACTCTCATGTCCGGTAAGTTTCTTTTCTGTCACTGTCCTCCCCTGTCTGCCCCTCGAAGACAGTGAGCATGCCCCTGGCAGGGACTGAGATGAGACCTGTGCAACTGCTGAGGTCGTGGGGGGTCGAGGTGTCCACTCTGACCTATGCTTTCCCAGGGACCGTGACCACCAAAGGGGGAAACCAGACCCACGTCCTATTCCAGCTCCAGAGCAGCTAACCGAAAACTAAAAGTTCTTGGGGTAATAGTGAGGGCTGTACACCGTGTGTGCAGTGGGGGTGCTGGGGAGCCCTCTGCACGCACCGCCCGCCCCTGGCCCAGGCTGCGCCAGGCACTCTGCCGTTGCCCAAGGCTGCAGGCTGGGCCAGGCCCTGGTGGCTCTGAAGAGCCAGGCTCCCTGAAGAAGAGGTTAATTCTCCTCCTCTCCCTCCTCCTCTCCCGCCTCTGCCCTAGTTATATCCAGAACTCCCAGCCCAACTTGAACAATCTGACGGCTGTGGGCTGCTCCCTGGCGCTGGCTGCCGTCTTCCCCCTTGGGCTGGATGGTTACCACATCGGGAGAAGCCAGTTCCCCTTCGTCTGCCAGGTGAGCAGGAGGTGGGCAGACTCCCCATGGGACGTGGCTCGCCCTGCCCTGGAGCCGCTCCTGGAGGCACAGTGCCTGGCCTTTCTTCCGCTGTCCCTGCTCCCCCTGGTCTCTGCCTGCCTGCGTCCCTTCTTCCTGACCTCCAGACCTTTTCACTGTGTGGCTCTAGCCAGTTCCAAGGTTGCCATGGCATGCCTCGCAGAGAAGGGGGAGGCTCTGAGGGTGCAGGAAGGGGTCTGCACAAAGAACCCTCCAACCCTGGCAGCTTGTCTGTGCTGTGGGGGCTGAGCCCAGGAACTGCGCTCCCAGGGGGAGGCGGGGAAAGACCGAGGTAGAGACCTGACCTGACAGCAGGGGGCTGGGGGCAGGAAGGAGGTGTGTGCTTGGTGTTTGGGGTGTGGGAGGTCTTGGGGCTGTGGGAAAGGCTGGCTTCAGTAGCCATATTTGTGCAGTTCTGTTCTGCTGGTAGGAAACAGGCCCCCGTCCCTGCCCGTCCGTACTCCTCCTTCCTGTGCCCTGTCCTGACCATGCAGCTTGCATATGGCCTTTGCACACACAAGCACACTTCCCCAGAGGCTGTAGGTCCCCTGTGAAACCAGAGGGCGGGGGGGGGGTGGGCGCTAAGCTGCGGGGCAGCATGAGAGGTCTCTGCACAAAGTGCTGTGGGAGCAAAGAGGGAGCTGCTCAGGAGGTAGCTGGACCGGCACTGGAATATCAAAAGATGCGTGGGCTTTCCTCAGCTGGAGGAATTAGGGTGGTCACTCATGTGGCCTGCAGGGACATAGATGGTTCGTGTGGCTGGAGCCTGGGGGAGAAAAGGGCCGAGGAGCCTGGGGGGATGGCAGGAGCTGTGTTGTGAAGGGTCTGGTGCTACATCACACACTGGGGGTCCGAAGGGATTCACCCCAGGAGATCGCAGCAAGGGGCCCTGCTGGCAGAGGAGAAGGTGGGTGGGAGGAAGCTTGCTGGCCCTCTGCACACCCCCTCCGCTCCTGGCTGCACCTCTGTTGCACACAGTTCTGCCCTGCTCCCTCTCCTGTCGTAGGCGCGTCTCTGGCTCCTGGGTCTGGGCTTTAGCCTGGGCTACGGCTCCATGTTCACTAAGATCTGGTGGGTCCACACGGTCTTCACAAAGAAGGAGGAGAAGAAGGAGTGGAGGAAGGTGAGCTGCTTCTTAACCTCAGCCTTAGGTCCTTGGCTCTCGGGGTTTAGAGGGTTCCTGACCTGCCTGTGCTCTGTGTCCATCCAGACCCTGGAGCCCTGGAAGCTGTACGCCACGGTGGGCTTGTTGGTGGGCATGGATGTCATCACTCTTGCCATCTGGCAGATCGTGGACCCTTTGCACCGGACCATTGAGGTAGCCGTTGAGGGGAGGCACTGGAGGTCAGGGTCTCTGCGCTGCCTGGGGTCTGAGGAGGAAAGCCACTCGTGGAGAGTGCTCTCCAGCCTTCCGCACAACAGCAGCTGTCAGGAGCCCCAGCGCAGGTGGGGATCCAGGTGGTGGGGATCCAGGAAGGATGTGTAGACGTCCCAGGCATCGTGGAAAGCTGGGGGACATGCACTTCCGAGGTGTTCGTGAAAGCACTCCTGAGCCCAGAGTGGGCCTGGCCTGGGAAAGAGGGGGTAGCGTTGGGGGTCAGGGACTGAGCAGAGGTGGGGCAGGGAGGGTGACCGCCGTCTTCCCTGGGGCCCTATTTCTCCCCTAGACTTTTGCCAAGGAGGAGCCAAAGGAAGATATTGATGTGTCCATCCTGCCCCAGCTGGAGCACTGCAGCTCCAAGAAGATGAATACGTGGCTTGGTGCGTGGGGTGTGGGGGAGGGGTGGGGCGAGGACAGCAGGCTGGGGGAGAGTTGGTCTTCTTCCCTGAGGAGCTGGGGGTCTAAAGCAGGGATGAGGCAGACCGGTGGCAGAGCGGCCCGTGGGGACAGCCTGACACCATCCGTCTGGTCAGCTCCCTAGGGTGAGACCAGGGCTGTGAGGGCCTGGCTTAGGCCCCTTTTGGCCCCCAAACATTGGTCTGTGACCAGAAGGGGCAAAGCCTCCCCTCAGCCTGGAGGCTAAGGAGGTGAAACATTGTGTGGCTGACACTGGCTCTCAGCAGTCTTCTTCCCGTGTCCCAGGAGGAAGTGGTGAGGTCTGGACATGTTGGGGGGATGGACAGAGATGGGTGTGCTAGGTCGGAGGGGCCGACTGGAGCTCTAAGCAGGAACAGCAGTAGGTGAAGGACGTGGAGGGCGTAGGGAGGGAGTGGACGCATGGGGTCGTGTTGCCCAGGTGACCGTTTGCTCCGTTCCAGGCATTTTCTATGGTTACAAGGGGTTGTTGCTGCTGCTGGGCATCTTTCTTGCTTACGAGACCAAGAGTGTGTCTACGGAGAAGATCAACGACCACCGGGCTGTGGGCATGGCCATCTACAATGTGGCGGTGAGCCCCGGACGGCTGGCGCTGACCCCAGGGCTGCCGGGGGAGATTCAGCGCTGGGTCAGTGGGTGGAAGTTAGCGCCTCTGGTTTGTAAAGCACTTTCCAGTGGGTAAAGCGGACTCTCTTCCCGTGACCACCCATGAAGCACACATTAGTGCCCCCCTACACAGGTGAGAAAGCAGAAGCAGGGAGGTTAGATGGCTTGTCTGTGGTTCCCTGGCTGGAATCCCAGTCAGCTTCCTGCCAAATCTCCCTGACCCTTGACGCTTGGGGACTCTGTGCGTGTGTGAGGATCCTAGGACCTCTCCCTTGAGGGAGGGGTTGACCTGGAGTGGGATGTGGTTTGGGCTTCTTCCCGATCTGGAGTTGAGGGTGGCCTGGAGTCTGGACCCTTTTCCGATGGGAAGTTCCCCCAGGACCTGTCCTCATGGGCTTTCTCCTGGGGGAGGAAAGCCTGGAGGTCCCAAACAGGGTCCACCCACAGGTCCTGTGCCTCATCACTGCCCCGGTCACCATGATCCTGTCCAGCCAGCAGGACGCAGCCTTCGCCTTCGCATCTCTTGCCATAGTGTTCTCCTCCTATATCACTCTGGTCGTGCTCTTCGTGCCGAAGGTGAGGCGCCCCCCACTCTTCTGTCCCCACAGTCCACCCCTACTTCCTGGGACCCTCTCCCAGTCCTGCCCTTGGTTGGGGCCCAGCTTGCCCCTCTATTTTCATTCTTTTCGACTCCAACCCACCACCTGCTAGTCGCTGACAGTCGGGGCTCCACCACCTCATGCCGCAAACCTTCGCCCCCAGATGCGCAGGCTGATCACCCGGGGAGAGTGGCAGTCGGAGGCGCAGGACACCATGAAGACGGGCTCATCCACCAACAACAACGAGGAAGAGAAGTCCCGGCTGTTGGAGAAGGAGAACCGGGAGCTGGAGAAGATCATTGCTGAGGTGTGGGGGCGGCGGGGGCGGTGGGGGGTGAGGGGCATTGGCACAAATCTGTGCGCAGGGACCTCTCTCCCCTCCCCGGCCCCCCACTCCTCATTTCCCTGGTCCCTCTTTTTCATCTGCTGCCCCCTCTGCTCTTTGGCTCTCCTCGATCTTTCCTGCTGCCCCGTTTTCACGTCTGCTGTCCACCCTGGCCTCCGTCCCCCTGTCTTACGCTCACCCCACCTTCCCCACATTCTTCCAACCTCTCCCAATCTCTCTTCCTGCAGAAAGAGGAGCGCGTCTCCGAGCTGCGCCATCAGCTTCGGTCTCGGCAGCAGCTCCGCCCCCGGCGCCACCCCCCTACGCCCCCAGACCCCTCGGGGGGCCTGCCCAGGGGCCCCCATGAGCCCCCTGACCGGCTCAGCTGTGACGGGAGCCGGGTTCATTTGCTGTACAAGTGAGGGCCCGAGGGGAGGAGGAGGGGCTGGGGGAAGGCCTCCTCTGTGACTCTGGGGTCGTCTGGGTCCCCAGGACTGTGGATCCGGCGTGTTTCCTCTCGTGTGCTCGCTGTTTTACAGCCACTGTGCCGTCTAGTGGGTGCCTGGCTGCAGCTTCCCCGGCCCCTCGCAGTGCGCCGCGCCCCTTCCCCTCCCGCTAGCGCCCTCTCTCCCTACCTGTCTCCTTCCGCTGGCCCACGCCTCACCCCTCCACCAGCTCCGTCCTTCTGGAGTTTCCGGCCTCCGCCCTGTGTGTGCTCATGCTTCCCAACACACGTGCTCGTGTGCATGCGTGCTCACATGTGCTCCTGTGTGCGGCTTGTCCTCGCCTCCCTCCGGCGCTCTCGTGGCCACTGCGCCCTTTGTCTGCCGAGCGGAGGCCTTCCCCACCGGCGCACGTCCGTGTTTACCCGTGCGTCCTCCCTGTGTGTGCTCATGGCACCTGGGTACTCTCAGCTTTGCACCGTAAAATCGTTGTATTCTCCCAACAGAGCCAGAGGCACCCACCCTACACGTCATTGTGCACCTTCCCCAGTTCCCACCCTCACATGCTTTCTGCTTGAACCCCCTTTGTGCTCATGTACTGCACTAGGTCCACACTCCCAGTCCTCCTTCCCAGGACTGCTCCCTTTGGTTTTGTGTTTTCCTGGGGGGAGTTAAGGGAGAAGAAATGGGGGCAGGCTTGGGGAGCTGCTTCCAGTAGACAGTTGGTGAGAATCCCAACCACAAGAAGGCCCCGTGAACAACTGGCACAGACAGACGGAGGCATCCCCTTCACGCCGTGGTGTCTCTTGGGGAGGGATCTCCCCCAGTCTCAATAAACCAGTGAACAGTGTGACTCAGCGGCTCGTCCCTTCCTGTGAACAGACTGGGCTTCAGTCCAAGGAGGGAGACTCGGGTCTCCATGTTAGAGAAAAGGCACTGGGGTGGAGGGGTGGAAAGAGGGGCTGGGTTGGTCCACTGAGGGCCTAGCAGGGCAAATCAGGACAGGGTTAGGCTGAGACAAGTGACAGCATAGAGTGCCTGCAAGTGTGGAGGGGTCCGCTCTGGGTCCGCCGACCCGCGCGTCGGTCACCACCACGTGGAAACAGGTTCCTGATCTCTGTTCTCCGTGGCCTCATTTGTGAAGGTAAGAGCAGACATCCTGCTCATTGCCGTCACGCTGGGTGCAAGGACTGGTGCTCGGACTGTCCTTGGCCCATGGAGTATGCTCGTCCTTGCTAGCCACAGTCAGTCCTGCTGCATGAGCCCTCTGACAGTGGTGGGCACTTCCTGGGAGCCCAGAGGACGTGGCTGCTCAGATGTGAGCCCCCTCCCTCCCAAGAACCAAGAAGAATGGGTGAGACAGCCCATGAGACAGCCTGCGAGGGCTTCCAGCCTGCAAAGTCTGAGAGCTCTGAGCAGCTGGGAAGGAAATTACTATCCAAGAAAAGAAAGTATTGAGTGCTCAATGAGGGAAAGGAAACTTGCTGAGACTCTTACAAATCTTCGTGTCCTCTTAGAGAAGTGTTTCTTTGCAGCTGGACTTTTCTCTTTCCCTTTGGCACTGGTTTTTTTTTTCTTAAGCCATTCTCACATTTTTGCAAAAGAGCTGAAGGGTTGAGTGGGTCCATCATCCTGTTCAGGAGCCAGTTTCTGAAGTTCCATGAGAGCGCATGCAGGTTAACTGCCAGACCAGTGCTTGAGTCCACTGTGATTATTTGGCTCAGGCCAATTGGAAGAAATGAGTTCCCCTCTTCCCACAGTGGCACATTCCCAAGAAAGGGGGAGATGCCTGTGGATAAGCCTGCAGCATGGAAAATGAACGGTTGGCTTCAGAACCGCCCTGGGTAGAACCGAGAAGACCAGAATTACCGCCTCCAACTTTCTTCGCACTTAGGTGGGGTGTAAATTACAGACAAAGGATCAGAAGTCCTGCTGGGACCCAGGGTGAGCCAGATTTTCTCTGCAAGCAGGACTCAGGAGACAGCTGAAGGAGGGCTGGCAGAGGCCCCCGGGGGGAGGGAGGTGGTGAGAGCAGCACCCAGCCGTCCTCCAGCCCTGCCTCTGTCCAGACAGGACTCACCCACAGGCGTGCGTCAGCGTCGTCCCCTGACTCTGGAGCACGCCCGGGTCTGGGCTGCGTGTGGGGTTGGCCTCTCTGCCCACTCAGTCACTAGCAGCGCATTTCGGAGCGCTCTGTGCTGTGTTGGTTTTGTGAGAGAGTTCTGAGTGGGAGCGCTGCTGGGGCAGGCGTCCCTCTGGGCCCTGGGCTTCACGTCGCGGGAAGGCAGAGTAACTACGGAAGCAGCTCAAGGACAGAAACAAGGTAGGTGGGAGAGCGACCTGGGGTGCTGGTGTGGTCCTCAGCTCCGCGGCTCAGGGCAGCCCTGTAAGGAAGGTGCTGTGTGCTCTGGCATGGAGACTGCAGCTCAGGGACAGGGAGCCCCTTGCCCAGGGTGGCACCACTAACGAGGAGTGGAGCCCGCCGGCAAGCCGCACCTGTTGGGATTTATTGCTGCAGAACCTGTCACCCTAAATGGTAGCCTAAGACACTAACGATTTTTTTCTCCTGGTTTCTGTGGGTCAGGAACTCACACGGGATGGTGGGGAGATGCCCGGAGGCTTGAGGGCTGGGGGTCGGAGTCATGGGGAAGGTCTGAAGATGGGTGGTGGCTGTCAGCTGAGACTTCAGTGGCTGTCGGTGGAGCCCTATGCGTGGCCTTGCTGTGTGGCCTGGGATCCAACGGGGTGTGTCCTGGGAGAGACGGGAGGGGAGCCAGCTAGGCTGATGGGTGTCCTTTTTCCGGCATAGCCTTGGAAGTCCCGTGGCATCACTTCTGCCGAATCCCATTGGTCCAGGCCGTCCCTGGTTCAAGGGGAAGAAACACGGACCCCACCTCTTGGGACGAGCATCATACTGTAAGAAACCATGTGGGATGGGATAAGTACGCTGTTGCAGCTACCTTTGGAAAGAATGATCCATCCCCTGCTGTGCTGGTCTGCCTACTCAGAAGCCGGGTCACCCACCTCCTCACACTGCGCGTCTGCACCCCACCCTGATCACCCAGTCTTGCCTGCTGGCGGTCAGACTTTTAGTAGGGGCCTTTACTTCTGGGCGATTCAGGGCCAGCAGCCATCCTACACTAGCTTTTTCTGCCAATGGTGGACCCTCCCACCATCCTTTGTAATTTCAGGCCACTGGGGACTCAGGCTATTGGAGCAAGGAGTTTTGTTCCTTTGCACTTCATGGTCCGTTAACAAGGGAAATCAGAGGACAGGCTCCCCACTCCTCCAAACAGCAGTGATTTTCAAAAATACTTCTCCAATATGGTGTCCCCTTATATGGCCCCCTGGAGCAGGGAAGGAAAGGCTAGAGGTGTTCACAACAGAAAGACAAACACATTTTTTTGTTTTGCTTTTTAAGATTTTATTTATTTGTCAGAGTGACAGAGAGCACAAACATCAGAGCATCAGGCAGAGGGAGAAGCCGACTCCCCGCAGAGCGGGGAGCCCGACATGGGGCTCGACCCCAGGACCCTGGGACCATGCCCCGAGCCGAAGGCAGACGCTCCATGACTGAGCCTCCCAGGCGCCCCGACAAACACGTTTTTGGACACTGCATCGCACATACACGTGGGACACCCAGTGATGAGTGACCCAAGGGGCCGGTTACAGGTGGGGCTTAACCACTTTAGGCCAAACAGGGAAAGGGTGGTTGAGTGGAGTTAAGGGAGGAAGTCAGGGAAGGCGTGGTAAAGGAGGGTTGCATAGTTCAGTTAGGCAGATTTAAGTCAATGACTTCACCATTGAGAGAAGGTGTGAAGATCCCTGTCTCAGGGAGGAAGGCACCTTCACAAATGGGAATTACTTTGCCCTGCTTTTAGAGCTTTTCCTGCCTGGCTGGTCCTCAGCAGCCTTAGCTCAAAATAATCCATATGCCAAAGAGGCCTATTTTGGAGGCCTCCGCTGGTACCCTCCCAGGGTGCGTGATTAATTCTGCCTAGGAGAAACAGGAGCCTGGCTCCACCAGGGGCTAGAGGAAAGCAGCGGGAGCTGGGCCATGTGCATTTGCGTCTGCTCAGGATTCAGGGAGCCTGTCAGAAGGGAGCCGGTGTCCACATTGAGTGGGCAGCTAAAACCCTGAGTCCTTGAATGCTGGCCTTTAAATATTTTCAACGCAAGTGCCTATCCTCGTGGGACCTAATTCTTACAGGCTTCAAGCATTTGTGAGGGATCCCTTCTCCAGTTCCGTCCAGTTAAGTAGCCTGCATGCACTCCTAAAATAATCCCTACCTTCCTCCTTAATCACTCCGCTCCCTGCTGTAACTCCTTCTCCCACAGCATCCCATCCTCATGATGTGGTTTGGAATATAGGTGAGGTTCAGTGGGGTGAGGTTCGGGGCCGACGACCAAGAAGGAATTCTTGAGAGGTCTCTGGTGCAAAATTGTGGTTTGGTAAGGCCCGGGGACAGGACCTGAGGGCAGAAAGAGCTGCTGCCCCAGGGTTGGGAGGGGAGGCTGATTATATACTGTGAGGCTGGGGGAGGTAAGAAAAAGGGAGGTTTCGAGAAAGCTTTCGTATGTTAAAGAAGATTCACAGGAAACCGGAGGCCTTGCCTTTGTCAAGTTAAAGTTGTTTTTCCCTCTAGCAAGGTATTAACCTGAAGATAGTTGAGAGATTCCTGGAGGAACATTACACTCTGCCCGCTTAAAGTCTCTGTCCATGGGCTGCAGGTTATGAGGACATTTAATTCTATCTACATTCTCTTCTGGAAGCTAGGCCGTTGATAGAAATGCTTTGTTCCTGTAGATTGCTGAGACATTTGTAAACTGAGGGACACTCAGGTCTTGCAGGATTGTGATCTTCATTAGTTAGCTATTTGTTTTTCCTTGAGGTCAGCCAGGAGTGCCTGAGGAATGTCACATACATCCCATGGTGGGGGGGATTGTGGGATGTCAGCTTCCGCTTTGTCCTCAGGTAGCTTTCTGTTCCCTCATCACTCAAGACCGTTTAGCTCTTTACACGCGGTACATCGGCAAATATTCCATATTAATTTTGCTCCCTCTGCGGTGGTTCAAACCTCTAGGAAGAACCCTCTGTTTCCCACACACCCACGCACTCACGTATTTTGTTCCTTTGGATTCCTTGTGAGGAGTGATGGGAGATCTCACACAAACGGTGCTGGGAGGCCAGCAGAGGGAGCTGTCGGCCCTACCGCTCCTGGTGACCAGCAGGCCCGACAGGAAGACATGGAGGGGACCTCGCAGGTGGATACCACTCTACTATTCCAGCAAGATGGAGGGAGCTTTCTCATCCCCCTCCCCTCCAGCCGCTCAGGCAGTGAGGAGCCACCACACTTTGAACCCACATCCCCGGCTTACTGCAGTGGACTGCTAGTTCCTAACAGCCTTCTCCACTCACCCCTTTATCCTTAAAAAAAAAAGAAAAAGTGTGCCTCTCCTGTGTTTCCTGGACTTGTCTACTGTTTTGCTGCACTTTGTTTGTCCCAGATTACAATTCTTTTTTTTTTTAATTCCTGAGTAAACCCATCTTGTGTTGGTGTGATAACTGGCAGTTTTTACTCGTAAGGCTAATAGCCTCAAACTCAGTTATTTAAGCTGGAAATGTGTCTCTGACCATCTCTATCTTCCCTGCACACTTTGAGGATTATGACTGAGTTAGCATAGATTTTCCCCTGAAGTTTTGAGTAGATAACTTCAGAGGTAGAATTAATTCAGAATGAGATGCGAGTGTTAAACCATTTATTCAACAGGTCAGGTTTCATTAAAACAGTTTCTTTTAGACTGCTTCATATAATTCTCTGTGTACAGAGCTGAAGAACAGGTGCAGGTGAG